AGATTTCTTTTTATTTTTTCAAGACAAATAATGTGTAATTTCGGAAGGAAATTTTTTCGTTCAGCGTGCAAAAATACATTAAGGTACACTTCAGAATGCGTAAAGTCGAAGCCTTCTTCACTTCCAGAACTTTTTACAATAGATTAAGTTAAACATTTGTTTTTCCAAGAGTTTTCCAAGAGTTTTCCAAGAGTTTTGCAAATTTCCCAAAATTCCAAGAGTTTTCCATGTCTTGAAAAATAAAAACAAAATTCCAAGAGATCGATTTCCAATTTTCCAGAACCCAAACGAACCCTGTATGATTATTGTGAGTGTCAAACGAACTCATCTACCTGATTTAGATCATTTAGGAGGCGGGGTGTTCGACCCTGCCTGTCAGGACAAATCAAGGTGAAAAGGGACACAATATTCAAGAAGAAACAAATATTAGATTAATTAAAAAAAACCCAACAGCTTCTGCATTCGGAATTGAACCTATGCCTTCTGCCCGCCATGGCAAACAGCCTAATACCCAAAACACACTGCCAATTTGATATGAAGGTGGGTGGGCAGCTAGGACGGTAGGTAGGTAGGTAGGTAGGTAGGTAGGTAGGGTAGGTAGGTATTTTATTTAGTATTTAAGAACACTGGTCAACATAACAAAGCGGACACATTTTACAATTACAAGTGACTTCCGTGAAAACAGCCTTAATCAAAAAATGAAATACAGATCAATAGCATTTGAAAAACGTTTAGCATTGTTAAACAAAATTTTCATAACAAAACAGTATATGTAGTACACATACCTTTTCTCATGGGTTAAACATTACACATATATATGTTTATCAACTGGGTTGGGTCAGGAAGGGAGGAAAGAACTATATACTTCGATAGGAAAAGTTTGAACGATAAAAAAGGGGCATTCATCTCCAGATTCACGAGAGTTTCACCTCTCACATAAGGGTGAATTTATTAATTTCTATCGATAAAGATTATAATTTAATGGCAGTCTATGAGTTTTAAGCCAAATTGAATCTGGAGGGCATTTTGGTCTATCGTATTACAAAGGGAAACAAAAGATTTGCCTCCATTATGTATAGTAGTCTTGTGGTTGGCTGTTTTCACCAGTAGAATCAGATCCGTTTAGTTTCAGTAAGAGTTTGACGGCACTTACGACACAATAAGGTCATATAAGTGCCGATGACTAGAGGTGTTACAGGAGAGTAACACACAAAATAACGAAGAGAGATAAGGACGATAGATGTTTAATAATAAGAAAGAAGGAACAAACCATACTAGGGAACCCTTGGAGTAACTATATAGTTATAATAGTTACTCCAGGAGAGAACCAGCCAACCACCCACCCACTAATCAGATCGTCCGCTAGGTAATGGTTATGACCGCAACAACACAGACGCCGGTTCCCCGCCACCGACAAGGCCAGCCATTGATTACCGTGAAACAACAAAGCGACTTACCCACGCTGGAACAGGTCCACATTGTAAAAGCGATTCAGCTCCACAGAGATCTCTATAGTGGCCTGAAGTTCGCCCATCTCATCTGAAGCAAAAGAAAAAAAAATACTTTAAGTATAATAGATGGGATTTTGTTTCGGGTTTTTTTTTAAAG